ATATTCCCTCTGTAGTTTTCTACAGAACAAACAAGTTTCACAAATTTCTTTCCCGATTCTATAGGCACAATTGGTCTTCCTAAATGTTTGATCACCTATCTCTTCAACCAGCATATGGTGTCATTAGAGTACTTGAATGACTCTGAAACTTGAGAGAATATTTTCTCCTTTTTTCTCATTTCTTTAGACAAGCCTTAGTTATGGAATTGTCATAAGTGTGGCTGAGTGGATGTTTTGGATATTATCAATGTGCTCGTTTGGTGGATTGACAGAGAGTCTCTCAATACCAAGTTCCGGTGTTATCTGGAAGTTAGTATTGGCTCTGAACTTCACTAGCTTTCACATAGTCTCTTTAATTTTCCCAGTGTCTTGTTTTACTTGATTCCTTTGTTGAAGCAGGTGCTGACATAGGCATAAAGATCTATCAGATCCCAAGAGTTAAGATTAATCAAGTCATTATCATTATAATCCAGAGTTTGTTGTAGGCTGTTTCAACTGTATACTCGAGATAGGTTATAGTTTTGTATGCAAAAGTTCTAACTTTGATCAAGGCATCAAAATAGACACCGGTTTAGATCCACAAAGATCCTAAATGAAGCACTAAATATCCACGAACTTACCTCTTGAAGATCTTGAAATCATCTACCATAAATCTTCATTTCACCATGTTAAACCTTCCATCTTGCTCCAAAAACCTCTCAAAAATCGGCCCTTGAAGTGCCAAAATCACAAACGATGAGGGAGGCTGAGAAGTGGTGGAAGAAATGGTTGAAAACCCAAAAAAAATTAGGTTTTTACGACCTCTAGAGGTTTCTCGCCACCTTGGCTGTGACCTAAGTTGCGGGCCAGGTTGCCCGAGTTTCTTGTTCTGACTGTTTCGTGACCGTTTTCCTACCATTTTCTACCCAAGGACTTGGGCCACTTTTCATGTGGTTTTCGGCCCACTGTTTCCAGACTTCCAAAAACTAAAACTCCCAATCTAACATTCTTTTAGACCATAGAAGCCAACGAAGTTAACGACCTGCACTGAGAGCTTAATATTTTCAATTTGGCAACTGAATATTTCGATAAATCCCGAAATTATTTTAAATAAAATACTGGTGTTACAAGTTAGAGGTACACAAATAAAATACTGGTGTTACAAGTTAGAGGTACACGAATGGTTTAGTTTTTTGGGATGTCTTTTGTACCCATTATTTTGTCATAGTAATACTCGCTCCTAACCTAGATCTTGTGTAATGATCGTTCCTAACCTAGACCATGTGTAATTATTGGTTTTGAAAGTTTACTTTTATTTGGTATTGCCTTGTAAGTATGTCAATAATCCTTTTTGATATTGAATTTGGAGTAATTGTAGTATTTATTATAAGTTTTAAATTAGTCGTTTTCCCAAAGTTGATGTGTTCTAAATTTATATGGCAAGCGTAAGGGTTATGTAGCATACAGCCCGAACACGGGGACGTGATGATCCTAACACTAACAACTTATAATCACAGCCTAGCTATGCGAATCAATTGATTTGTTTGATTATTAGACTAATTGGACATGAAATAAACAAGTTCAAGGAAGACAGATAAAACAAGAAGCATTTAAAAGTAAAACGAAGCAAAACAAATGACATGTATGACTTAAGGGCAATGGGTAATGTCAACCTCGGACTTTGGTACTGGTGGAAATTCGTCATGCAAAACTACTTCAACTTTCATTCGAGGTGGGAAAACTTTTCTTACCCAAGACTTATATTTAGGGCATTGGGTAATGTCAACCTCGGATATTGGTACTGGTGGGAATTCGTCATGCAAAACTACTTCAACTTCCATTCGAGGTGGGAAAACTTTTCTAACCCAAGACTGATATTTACTTCCACAATATGTGTAGTTGGGAAGAAACATTAGGATTTAAAACTAATGCTTTTACCAATCAACATCCCTAACTATTTTCATGTTAGTACCGTTATCATTGATCAATTTAATCTACGTATAAGACCAACCTTTTTTCGTATAAAAAAACTAATTGAATTAACTAAATGCTTTGTTAAAAACAAATTAACTCAACACCAACTTTCATTGAAATAGATTAAAACCCAACATTTGTTCTAAAAACGAGTGGTCAATACCCAAACCTTGATCCAAAGCGACGAATACCCAAGTAAACGATTGCTAAATTAAAACCAAGCAACAAACTATTTATCTAGATCTGAACAAAAATAAAGGAAATGATACAAATCTAACGATAGCAAAACCACTACATTAAATTTTTATAAGAAAAAAAATTAACATCAACACATAACAAGGTGAAAATTAAATAACTAATTACACATATACAGGAAATTAACCAAGTGCAAAAAGTTCAAATGAATTAATGGAGACAATTAGTTACCTAAGCCTAATGTGTGGAAATTAAAAAAAGCCGCATAATTGCAATAAATTAAAATAGAGTCCAAAGGGCCGTTTACCAAACACTTACCTGGATAAGCGCTTACCAAGTCACTTTACCTTACCGGATGAATTTGGTAAGGACCAAAAATCTAATCCGACAAGAGCGAGACAAGAACCAAGAGTCTTACCCGGTAAGTGAGGGCGACGACTCTTACCAAGGTAAGCGCTTACCGGGTAAATTGTTGCATATGATGTCGTTTTGGTGGAGTAAAATCTTACCCGATAAGTAAATAATAGTGTTAAATTTTACCAATAAACACACTTACCGGGTAAGTGTTTGGTATACGGCCCCTTAAGAAATGAGAAGTAAAATAGAAAGAATGGCGAGGTAAATAATAGAAAAGTGCAAAAAACTTGAAATCTAGTGCAAATAAATAATGAATTTTGAAATATTAAAGAATAAAACTCAAGAACAACTCAATGAATCATAATATTTAGACAAAAAATGAGAATTTATCGAATAAATTAAAAGAATAGGGAAGAAGATACTAAAAAACGTATGAAAACCTATTGTAAATCGAAAACCTATGACATTAGCTTGTAGCACAAAAGTCTTCTTCCCCAAGCTTTGAGAAATCGTAACCAAAAGGAACCAAAACTAGAGTATTGTTGTTCTAGGAGGGAAATAACGGTTTCTCAAAAATAAATCATAAAAAGGTAAATAGGCAAGGCAAAAGACCCAAAAAAGCCCTAAAAAAGAGTTAGGCGACTTTAACGGTCGTGGAGAATCCTTTGCACCCTTGAAAGTGCAACAAAAAATTTAAAACGTTTCAGGAGCAATGCTTCACGATCATGAAAAAACATTTACATCCGTGAAACTGTGGCAAAAACTAATAAGGATTTAGTCTACGACATACGACACGCTCGGAACTCTCCCCAAGCATAGATAACTAAGGAGACGTTTGGTTCGTAGAATGAAATTCGATGGAATTGGAATTCATCAAATGAATTTGAGTTTGAAGGAATTGAATGAAATTTGATGGCCGCGAGTGAATGAATTTATTGGAATTGAAAGAATTTCTTCAGTATTATTCTATGAACCAAACATTGTATTTGGAATTTGGTCAAAGGATTTGACCATTCCAATTCCTTTCAATCCCATCCAAATCCATGAACCAAACAGCCCCTTAAGATCTGATCGATGGACGAGGAATTGTGTGAATGATGAGATCGACCAAAACTTTGAAACTTAAAAACACTAG